AATGAAAATGGTTGCATGAAAAGATCTCAATTTCAAGCTTCATTTTGAGACTTTTTAAATAAAATAATAAATTTAAGAGTTATCCTTCCTAACTGAGGATTGGATATCCTTAAACTATTTTTTGAACACATGTCTTTCAAATAGTAAATGAACATGAAACAGTTTTTCATCAATAAAACAGTAAAATATGGATTAGGTTTAAAACCGGGCACTGTTAATTCTTAATGAAAGAATAATTGACAATATTAAAACAAAAAATTGACAGATGAAAACGATTTATCTAAACTATATTTCTTTAGATGTAAAAAGGAAGAGATATGCGGCATTAAAAAGATGAACCTCTGGTATTCATTTAACAGAATGGTGACTGCAATATGACTCTAAGGTCACTGAATAGCAGATATATCCCATTCAGTGAACTTTCCAGATCTTTCAGTGAACATTCAGTTGACTTAAAGACGCAGGTTCATCCTGTTATTGGATAAAACTAAAAGCATTTAAATCTTTTCTATATTGAAAGATTGCTGAACATATTTAGTATGAAAAGCACCAATAAAACTGGTTAAAACATAAAAATGAACACATATTGTAATTATTAAAGCTAACATTATATATTTTTTTTTAAATGAACACAATGTATCAAAAGATACTTTTAAAATCATTGGTACATATGAACACGTTTTGGAAAGACTTGAGCTGGATTGAAGAAAAATTGTACGTGTTAAAATGAAAATAAATTGGCTGTCTAGTTTTGTTAACATGGGATATTTACTCTTCTTTGGCATCTGATCTAATCTTTGGAACTTCCAAGGATCCACATCCACTTTTAATGCCCTGTTCACAAATTTGTATTGGTTGCAGATTTTTATCAGATGGATCACTATTCGTTATCTTGACCTTGTAATTTGAGGGATCATTCACAGTTTACACTACTGTAGAATTTATTTTTTAAAAACTGAAGAAAGACTTCAGTGTATATTTGCCTTGAGGTATATGTTAGAAATAATATAAGTTTCTAGTTTATCCGGTTTGATCAGGTTACAAGAATATATATCTGATAATTACAGTTAGCATATGCTCTGTCGTAAACCCTGAAACCTTAACTATTGTTCTCTATATATTTAACTATTTATGTCATAAATCTTGAGAAATTCCACAAAAGTAATATTGAAACAACCTGCATCATTAATTATCGAAAACTTATAAATAATAATTTTTTTGGGGTAAAAAAAAAGGCCATAATTAATATCAAATATTACATGTATACTTTTTTGAAAAGTATCTTTAAAAAACTGACAAATTGTGAATAGCTTTGTATACTGAAACATTTGTTTTGACCTACACTAAAATCTGGATAAGCTTAATTTTGAATCGGAATTCATTCACAATTGAGCATAATCTGCGTAGATTACACATTATGAATATAGACTAGTTTTTAAAGAAACAGTATACTTGATTGCATAAATATTTGTTTTAAGATTTAAAATGAAGTAATTATTATATTGAATTAAATTATCTCACAAAATTGAGTTAGCCCAAAAAGAAAAGGCAGTGTGTTTGCTTAGGTTATGATATTAGTTATGGATTAATGTGTATGGGAAATAATATCTACATATGTACTACTCTTATAAGCTGTTAATATTGAATTGATTAAAAAAAGGTAAATGCTGTCTTTTAGTTGATTAAACCTGCCATTTTATTCCCATAAAGAAATTCCTTTTGTTAATATAATGTACACGTATCATACTATGAAATATCCTTAAAAATAAACAGATTATTATTGTCTTATTTGAGATGATTTGTTGTGAAATTTTGAAAATTAACTTTTTTTTTTTTACATTTTCATACATTGGCTATAGATACTTAAACATAATTGGAAATGTTGTAAAATATGGAAGAAAGATGTATCAATTAGACAGCTCTATGAAAATTGTATGCAGTTTGTTTTAAGTCTGAACAATAGCTTTGAAAAAATAACAAAACCTGACATATCAAATTTTAAAAATGGCATAAAGGGTGTTGGCAAAAAGCTTGCACTTGCACTTTGACTCAATTGTTTCTTTTAGAATGAAACATTAAAAACAGTGAGCAAACTTACGTAATATTGGTGTAAATGTATCATTATTGAAATCTGATCATTAAGCAAGGCTTCTGAAAGCTAAAGATGATTATACAATGACACTTTCAGCTTTAAACGAATATATTCAAAATTTCATCTAAAACGGTGAAAAACTAGTTTTGCAAAAAAAAAAGTAAACCAAATTTTCACCAAACAGGCAGTACAGTGCATTTTATCATTTAACAGATATAAAAAGGATCAAAGTTGTAATCATAAAAAAAAAAAAATCATTGCAAAAAAAAAAGGTGTATATCATCAGAAGACTTAAGGGGTTCTTAAAGAGAATTGCAGTCTTTGTGAAACAATAATGATCAATACAACCTTTTTTTCGGAATCTTAACGGACTGAATAAGTTTTAAAGAAATAATGCAAAAATTATAAAAAAGGAATGGATTAAAAGATTAGACTGACGTCATTTCATTCATACTAATCAATGCTGTCTCTTTGTCTTTGTCTGGGTCCTGAATTTCGTCTTGTCTCCTGCTTGGATGTTTTCCTGTCAAATGCAAAATAATACATTTTCTAAACACAAGTATGGAGAAGGTTGAGATAACTTTTGACTTTGATATACTTTTTTTTATATACATATTTTCAATTTTCATCTTCCAATTATATGCAAACACGAAAAGTTTAGCCTTCTTAAAGCAATCACAGAGCTGAAACTGAGAAACCGTCAATGGATCTGGTTTACAAGTTCCAAAGTATAATTCGAACACTACATTTATTTTCAACATCTTACCTTATATTTAATGATAAATGTCTCTGATATATGAATATAAAGCTCACGGCGGTTGTGACATGGTCAACAGGTGATTTTTACTCCTCCTAGGTACCTGATCCCACCTCTGGACTTTCTAGGGGCCTGTGTTTTATGCCCTCTTCATAAATTTGTATTGTTTATAGATTTTTGATATCGATCACTGTTCGTTATCCCCCCCCCTTTTTTTCATGCAATTTTTCAAATTAATGTTAAACAATGTATATTACAAAACATTTTAAATAAAAAGATTGTTATTGTCTTTATAGTTACGTAGATTTTTCTTTAGGTAAAAACATGCACAAAACACTGTTTTACATTAGGAACATAATTTAATGATTATTTGGAATTCTATATTTAACCAGAAGCATTTTTTGAAACTTTGAAATAGGTAGAGAGAGAAATTGCTTTTCAGCGCATTTGTTTATCCTGTCGAGGAATTTCTCTTTGGACAATAACACAGGAATAACACATATCGTGCTACCAAGAAAGGTCAAAATAGACAGGTTTCAGATTATATGCTTCCACAATCATAATTTTAGCTAACAAATTATACATTGTAAAAATACATGCCAGTGAATGATCAATTCAATTTGATTTGTGTGTCTTCTTTGAGTATCATAAAGGTTGATGAGTCTATGTTTATATGCAACTGCACACAGTTGAAAGCTGCAACCGCGTTTCCTAATGCAGTACACTGATAATCCAGATAAACATGCAATCAGAGTAAAAACAATCATGCAAATTAAAAAGGTACTTCTGCTCCCATCCCTCTTATGGTTTCTGAAAAAAAAAATATCATGAAATAATTATAGAGAAAATGCTTTCCTTATTTCTTTTTTAAAATGTTTTCTCTACATTTATAGAGCATAATAATATAAAAACATAATAATCATTATTTAAAAAATGAATTTGTATATTAATTACCTATCAATTATATTTGGTGTTGAAGTTTCCTGTACATCTTGTGCAACTATAGTTTGCAGAGTAGTCACCCTTCGTTCGACGACGTTAGAAAAACAACCAAAATCTGAAAGACACACAAGAATTGTTTAAGGATTTACAAATCCACTTAATGTTATGAATAATCATAAGTGCAATATAAAAATTATAAAACTTAAATGTAGGTGAGTGCATATATAATTAGATTTTCTTTACAGCTTTGTTTGATAAAATAAAATGTTCTTGTTTAAATTTTCATACTTTGCCTGCACTGTATAATGATATAAGCATTTCATAATGTAGAAAGTCTAAATTAAATAATTATTTAGAAAAGAGTTTGCACTTTACAACAAATAAATATATGAATAGGAACAATTTACAATTAACTTGGTAATTATATTTCATAAATAGCTTCGAGATGAACTTCTTTCAATGCCTACACTTATATGATGTTGTCGAATTATATGATTGTGGACATGCAGGGAAAGACGTTTTACAATCTGCCAAATAATTGGCACGGACACTTTTTCTTTCCGTGTCGAACATGGCACATATTCCACCTAAAAATCATAAAATCTCAAAAGAATTGAATTATCCACAAACTCTATATATATATATATATATATATATATATATATATATATATATATATATATATATATATATATATATATATATATATATATATATATATATATATATATATATATTAGACATATACTTTCAATACTGTAAATAAATGTAGATAGAAACAGATGATTAAGAATTACTCATTTATCAAATACTCTCTCTCTCTCTCTCTCTCTCTCTAAAGTTGTACTACGTCATTTGACTATAACTGGAAATTTCACAACATTTTAAGAGGTAAACATCATGAGATACACATATTTGTATGTATACCATTCCATTTACAACAAAGAATGCAATAGTTGCATGTTTATTTTGACATACATCAATATTTTACCATTTTCGCAATCTCATGAAAGTTGAATGTGTACACTGATCATCTTCATCTGTACTTGTTCTATTCATACAACTCCTATCATAATCTACTGATCATACGAAATATAGAAGGTGAAGCTATTCTTTAAAACAAAAGAACCTATTTCGAAAAAAAATGTTCTTAAAAAATCGTGTACCAATTTTAACAAATAGAAATCCAGAATCTTATACAGTTCTCACCAATTATAAGCAGTGATGGGGCACAAACTTCCATTGTTTCATTTGTCCAATCATTGATAACACAGTGGTACTCAAAAGACCTGCAGGAGTGGTTCCACTTGTAGCAGCTTTTTCTTTCAATTGCTTTTTTGAGTTCTGATAAATTTTTGGGACAGGACAAAACATTGGAAACTGTTTTTAAAGAATCAGTACAGGGAATCACATATCCAAATGTATTTTTATTGACATTCTGCCATACCTGTAAATTAGATAGGTCATTTAAGCTTCACATGCTCATTGTGAACGGTGATATGGATTGTATATATTTAAACAATTAATATTCTGTAAATCATTCACAATGTAATCTGCTTTAGGGTTTATTAACCCTTTACTTGTTTCTTTCTTATCAATATAATTTATGTAATTCTATTCTTAAAATATATCCTATACGTTGCAAACTGTAGTGAAATGGTTTTTGACATATAATTACATTCATTATCTTTATTTTTCATATATTGATTCAGATTTTCATAAATGCAGTACCATTAATTGCAGAATGAATTCAAACAGACATCTTTTTGTGTTGAGTGACCTACAATTAAACCATCACATTGTCAACAAAAGAGCAGTCTTCATACTCAAGCAGAGAGCGTTGAAATAATCTTTCACTATTTTGATTCAACCATATATTTGTTCATCTGTTTTAGGTTTAGGCAAACTGTGTTTTAAATTCGATTTACCTCATTCTGATAAGCGCCAAAAATTAAAAAAAAAAAGACGAGTAAAATTTAGAATCGAAATGGAAAGACTTTAATTTTACGAATAAATTCAACAGGCTGAAATGTCCTTTAAAAATGTAAACTGTATATAGATAACATATAAAGCAAATTTTATAAATCAAAAACATGTATAATAACTGGGTTTTTTTTTTTTTTTTTTTTTTTTTTATTTTGTGTTTTTTTAGCTTACAGTGCGGTATTTCCTCGACGACAAATCACTTATACATAAATAGATCATGAACTCATTCAAATATCCTGCTATCCAGATATTTGATAATGACAACGAACAAAAATGTATATAAGATTTCTAAATCTTTTACTTACCTTGTCCATTAAGAACTCAATCGAAAAAAGGCAACTATGGAAATCACACAATTCAGTATTAAATGCAAATAGCAACTTCCTCCGTAAGTGCAAGTATTGCATGGATTGGCGTTGAAACTAATTATGATACAAACTTCGGACAAAGTCTGCAATTTATAACATTATTTCCGTCTTATCGAAACTCAGTTAGCAGTACTATTGAAAACGATTACATTATAAATAATGACACTGTCAAACAAAATAATATTAAGAGGCAAAAGTGGGTCAGGTCGTTCGACATTCGGATGTTTACATGAAATGAACTTGAGTGTCTCGGGTTATTCAGGTGCACCTATATGTATGAAACACCGTTTAAGTATTTATTTGATATTTCCTGCAAACGAATGCATTATTTCATAAAAATGAATGCTTACATGGCCGTATTTTGCTTGTCAAGAAATTTTTGCTAGTTGATGAACTATTTTTTGTTTGTTTAATTGTTTGTTTGTTTGTTTGTTTGTTTGGGTTTTTTTTTTTTCTTTTTTTTTTTTTTTTTTTTTTTTTTTTTGGCCTGTCAAACAATTTTTGCTACTTCATTACCTTTTTTTTTTTTGCTTGTCAGGAAATTTTTGGTAGTGCCCCCTCAACTGTCAACTGAAAAATTTATGGGTGCCCCCCCCCCCCAACTAAAAATGCTTCTTACGGGCCTTCGCCTTGATACTGGAAAAGGGTTGTTGATATCAAAAGATTATTTTAGACTGACATAAGTAATTGACCTTTTCATATTCAGGCATATAAAACAGTGAGTCTTTTAATTTAAAAATGAAGAAACTGATTTGCTTGCTCACTATTTAACTTTCATATCATAAAAGTGAACATTGTTCTGAGAACATCCTTGCAAAAATCAGAAAATTCCTTACATTACACATATGTACAAGAAAAAAAATTGCTTACGCATACATTTTGCTTTCTTTTGATTTATATTTGAATTTTTGGAGCAAGTGCACCAGGGCCTATTTACCATTAACCATAGTTGGAAAAACTTGGTTAACTGACAACTACATGCAGTACATATGAGCTGATTGATTTTCATGCATTTTTGTTATTTTACGCATCATTCCATACCATGACAGCTAAACATATGAGATACTCATTAAATTTCTAAATTCAAACGTTTATGATGTACTCATTGAAACCAATTTTAACCTTTGTCTGCCTAACTGTCGTATACTTTTACTTAATAATTCTTGTATTCATTAAGGTTTGTGGTCCACTGGCCTATTGTTTGCTATAAATCTAGGTCTCTGAGTACTGAAATGACAGGATCTACTGACGGGTTGAAAATCGATACTTTTAACTCGAATTGAGTAAACATCAGTGAAGATCACACTTACTACTTAAAACTTGCGTGTTCTACTTTGTTCTTTATAACAATCATATTTAACGTCAATCAAATAAAACAAAATCTTAATTCTGTAAGTTTATATCCCATGTATTTAATAAAATACCTCCAGTTTACACAACGCTTCCACACTGGAAATGTCCAATCTAAAACTTGCCCAAAACAACAATGCAATGTTTATGAAATTATTAATTTTTCCCTAGACATTTGTTCTTTCTTTTTTTATTTCCACACTGGATTTCAGATAATTTCTTCTTCATTTATTGAATTTATCGACCTTTTTTTTTTTTCTTCATAGAAAAATATTTTACACTATTATCAAATATGCATAATTGTAAGTCAAATTTGGGTTCAAATATTTATTTTGAAAAAAATAAATATATGAAACATTTTATTATAGAGACATTTTACATGTACAGATCTCAGTTTCCTTATACTTCTACATAAATGATGCAGCAATATACAGCAATGCACAGCGTATTTTGGGAATTAAGCGAAAACCCGTCTTCGTGCAGCGATCAACAAGATTTTTTTGTAACATGTATTTATAACAGTTTTACACACTCTGCTTATAGATGGAGGTTAATAGAATAATAAACAGAACATTTCAACTGAAAATATCAATACATATCGCAATACAAATAGAAATATCGCAATACGAAATTCCCAGCCAATATCCACCCCTATCTTTCCCTAGGTATTGTACATTTAGTATGTAATCTGAAGAATGACAAGTGTTCAAAAGTCCTTAATAATGTAAGTGCTTATTGACCCTCACTTTCATGAAAGTGCGAGATTAGATTGCTTTTGCCCGTCTGTCTGTCTGTCACAAAAATTTAAGCAATTTTATAAGAAAAAGGACTTTAAATAATGAGTTTTAAATGTGTAAGGGGAGATCCCGGATCTATTAACAAGCTGTACATAAAACTAGAAAAGATTTAATTTAGGTAATTATCTACAGTATAAGATTCAACGAGAGTAAATTTGTAAAACAGTTTCTGTACAAATGTTACCAATCAACTCGACAATGTTCCAAACATCGAATGTCCATGCCTAGAAATAGTTAATTGTTGTTATAAACGACAAATATTGGAGGTTATTGTTATGTAACAATTCTTGGAAGTATAAACTAAACAATTTTAGAATTAAAACTGCATACATTAGCCTAAAAACAACTTTTTACTGGAAACTTTGACAACTGCGAGGCTATCATCAACGACATATCTGTATCTTTTTTTGAAGTGACACTATAACAGGGAAACAGCGATCGTAAAAATTACAAAAAAAGAACAGCACAAATCTGAGTAAGTTCAATTCAAAGAGTGTTATTTCAATATATAATATTAATATAATTTACATTTAAGTAAGGCAGACGATCATTGTTATATATTAATTATTTTATTAGTTATTTTAACTCTTAAAATTGACCTAGATTAATATCAGAAAAAAAGATAACTATGTAAACCAAGGTAATACTACGGAAAACGAATTTGATGGCTCATAAAATTGTCATAACAGTTTTGACATACACTTTATTTACAGAATATAGTTCATTTGCAGACAATTGTATCGTTTTTAAAAGTGGAATGGGGGGGGGGGGGTTCAGCCAAAAAACAAAAAAACGAAAAGTTTGACAAGCAAGATAAAAAAAATGTAAATTTTCAAAACTCTGAATTAAATTTCGGATATGTTTTTGTGTTTGATATGGAGGGTGTGTGTGTGGGAGTGGGGTGATAGAAAACCAAATTTTTTAAAATAAATTATCGGATCACCCCGATTTGACTGTATTGCAAAAAAGAGAATAACTAGCCTTTTAATGAACATTTTACAATTAAAAAGTTTTCTTTTAAATGGAAGGAAGCAGCCCCCCCCCCTCCCCCTCCCTTCACGATACTAAATGCATGATTTTAGTTAGTTATAATGTATATTTGTGTAACATTTTGTAATATTCTGATGAGTTGTCAAGCCAAGGGCGAAAAAGAATTGAATTGAGTTTTTGAATTTATTAGAGTACGCTATTGATTGAACCACTTGAGTTGGCATACCTTTCAAGTTTCCAAAATTTCCAATAAATAAAATTATTATATAGTCTATTTATAGTCTCTATATAATCTATACAAACGCAAACAGTTCATAACACTGTAGTAAATGTAGTAAATTATCTCAAACATGGCTATAACATTATATTCGGTGTTTCTATCTGTATTAATTGTCAATTGGTATTATAAATGACCTACTGTTGATTGTACGAATATATTAAAAATTTTGCATGGTATTTATTTTAAACCTTATAAACACAGAATTTTCAAACTGCATTTACATGTATGCATGTACGGTATGACATATTACATTTTTCTACAGTTTGCTTTTGCCTATGTTTGCCATTTACATGTACCGTATCCAAATTCGATTTTTTAACAAAATGCTATTTTTAAAATCCATTCAATTTGGAACAGTGGTAGCCAATCAAAATGATACAACTGTTGAATATATAAATACTGACTTTGACTTCCTAGTTGTACACATTCTCCTGTTGTAATATCACACGTATATCGGCATGATTGTGGACAGGAAGATTGACATCCAACTCCATAATTCCCTTTGGGACATGATTCTGTACAGTTGATTCCAAAGGACCCAGGAGGACATGCTAGTGGATGCAGTCAAATAAATACGAAATTATAGTATTTACATTTAAAAAAAGCTTTTAATTCGCTACAAAAACATTAAGATAGTTTGAGTTATGTAGTCTCTTACATGTCTTTATTTATTGTATTTCAAATCAACACTATTTTCTTCATAAAATGAGAAATATATCTCTCCTGGCAAAGAAAATCCTAAAAGTTAAATTTAAAAACGTCTATCCTGGAATAGAGATTAAAAATTTTCTATGCGGTGGAGCAAACTGTGTATACCATGCACATGGAAAAAATATATATCCTGGATTTGTAAATTATGCATAAATAGCAAAATGTTACTCTAGGCTATGATGATGTTACTTGTACACATTTTAAGGTTATAAATTTATACGCACGGACACAAGAATTTGCTTCCTTGTCGAACATTTTTCCAGCTAAGCAAACAACTGCATCTCTACAAAAGTATTACACAT